ACTAAAATCAGAAAGCCACGTGACAATCACAGCCGATATAAAGTCGCGCCGTAACGGAATGTAGAAGCACTACATTTTGTCATTGTTTGGCTTTGTGTAAGTAGTGTGATACCACCAAAAACTGGTCGCTTTTGGGAAGAGTACGTAATAGCCCTTACCGAAATATTCATACATCCAGATAATAACGATGTCTTCGGATAAGCGATTTAAAATTTTCAAGACAGAGATACTCCTTGTACTTAATGACATTGGAAAACAAAATAATACGAATGAACTTGGACCACCACGCTAATCCAGAACAAGATCTACAAGTCGTACCTCAGGCGTGGTAAGCAAAGTGTGGCTTCTTGTAACAGGTTAGATCCACGAACACTACGATCAGTGGCAAAAGCTGTCCATGTGCCCCAGGTAACAAGATACAACACAATCAAGAAGTATCTCCGTCTGGAAATGAGGACTACGGGGTTATGTATTCACCAAGATAATGCTTCCAGATCACACCTCAAGTAGTTGTAGAATGAAATGAGTATCCAATTTATTCCACATGCAGCGCCTATGGATTTCTGTTGGATTGGACTCTTGAAACGAGCGCTGGGAAACCGTCCTCCTCGTATGAAATATGGAAATCACGCAAGGAGGGGTGGTGTGCTTTATACATGACAGTCTTGTGACTGAGCCTTTTGCAATGTAAACTAATTTGCAGGGCTATTGTCAGGATGTACGTTCGTCAATTAAAGCATGGCCAGACGTGGGTCAATTATTACTTAAAAGCCAAAAACTCAATTTCAGTTTAGAGTCCCAATTTTAAATTTATTAAAATTAATTTTTAATATAAATCCCAAATATATTAGAAAAAAAGTATTATGTTTTTTCATAAGTTAAATTATTAAAAGGGTGCTTAGTAAGAATTACACCTTTATATAATAAACAGTAAAGAGCAACTTTTTATAACAAGTAAAAAAGCAGTTCTCATGATTAATCAAATGGAGACAAAAAATAAAAGCACAATGCTGATACACTGTGCAAAAAGAAAACATTGAGGTTATTACTTTCTATTCAATGTATTTTGAACATGAAGAATATCAAAATATAGAGATGTAGCTAAACGTGTATACTTGTTAATTTAATATTACATACATATATATTATACGAGTGTTAATTCAATTAAAACGGTTTAGTTTTTAGCTTTTATGGGACTTAAATAAAAACAACGAAGCGGACGAAGAAAGGAAGATATTTGATATTTTCGACTTTAAAAGCACCTTATGCGCAGAATGGGCAAAACGACCAGGTCCTAGACTGTAGTGATGTCTTTTATTTAGAGCTAATTATCAGAAGGAGACCAATTAACAAAACCTGCCGTCTACACACTTTAAGCAATATTAACTGTCACTTTTATAGCACGTGTTGAGTGACATATTACGGCTCGAACGTGGGACCTTCATATACGCAGCCCAGAATACAAACTGGAAGGATACATCCGGCTCTATAAAACAAAATAAGAACTGAGAGAAATAAACATATAGAACTTATTCATGACGTTTACTGAGCGCATTTTAATAACTATACAACATACTGTGATTCGAAAGGAGAAATGTGAATAATGAAAATGACGCCAGCAAATATCGAGAAACATACTAGTACGATAGCAACAAGCTTTAACAATAGTTGACCCATTTTTATAATATGTATTAAAGTAAAACAACTGTGAAGTGCTGATGCATGGATGCGTAGTTATCTTTTTCTAATAATAAAACCGACAGAAAGGCAGGGCTGCGATACACTCGCTCCTCGCGTTCTCCTCATTATTATCAAGGTTTTTATAGTCAAGATAAGCTCGAGATAACTGTAATGAGGCAGTTAACAGCAGATAGCTTATCTGGACAGCGTGCTGCAGGACGAAGACCAGGCTGTGCACGAGATTGATGACAGAAAAAATAAACGTATCACTAACTACCAACTACGTGCACACGCTCATACACTCACTCAAGCACATGTGAAGTTACTCGCAAGGTCTCCAAGCTTGATCATTATTCCCCATAATGCATTATTCTCTCTTATTGTATTTGCTGTGAAGTTTACATCGTTGCTATAACCGATTTTAATAGTGGAATTCTGCCCGGGAAAGCTGTAGTGGTGAAATGTATTTAAAGGCTCTCGGAACGATGAGCGTGTCAGTATCGCTATAGGACGCAGGCTGCTAGCGAGAGATAAAGCAGAGTAAATCTGAACCCGTACATATCACCTCATTTGTTGAACAGCATGGCATCTCTCGACGTCATGCAACGCTCTTCCACGTCGCCATAGTAACGATCAACTTGATAGAAGCTCGGACTGCCGATCACCAAGTCGAAAGCTCCATGCTCCACGTGCTCTCCATTTGTCCCAGGCCCGTGGAGCACAAACCAATATAACTAAGAAAAGCAACAATTCTTCTGGTTGCGTCTGCGCACATAGTCAAAGTACAGAAGAAATTCATTTTGTCCAAGCTAAACCTGCAACCAATCATTTGCTTGAATACAAAATCCAGCATGCTACTATCCTCGTGATCAGACACACTCCTTTTAGAGAGTGCATTCTTCATCCTACTTCAGATGGATAAAATTCACGGCAAGTCTACAGGAAGAAACACGTGACTCAGCAAGTCCTAAAAATTGTTTTTCTGACACAAAACTGTCTCAATATATGGTGGATAATTTCCACTACGCGCTCGCGAGGCTGTTTACTTACTTAGATATTTTCCTTGTCTATAATCTGACTCGACTTCAATCCAGCCTCCTGAACTTTTAATGTTCTTTTATTATGAACACAAAAAATGTTGGAGCACTTTAAAAAAACAGCAACATAATACTCGAAACGGACTTGAAAATTTAGATGATACTTTGCGTATATTTTGAAGTTTCTGTTTCAACTTATTGTGGCTCTGGTCGAAGTAACACAACATTCTTGTGTGAAAATTGATCTTAGAAGACTCTTTGGTAAGGAGTAAAACACTGGTTTCACCTATGGTTAGGTTGCCAATAGCAAAAGACTGAAACCCCATTAACAGTGCTAATTAAGCCTTGTAACATAAAATAACTTCTGATAAGCAGGTTAAAGAGTTTATTAAGCCTGCATTAATAAAAGTGGAACATTTAAACAAAAAGATCTGATGTCAGTTCCACTTTTGTTTTAATGTGAAGTCTAAATAATACCTGTAAGCATCGCCCCTGAGTCAACGTTTTGGAAAAAGGCAGTTGACAAGTCAGTCCTTGTTGAAAGTAACGGAGAAGAACTGGCTTTGTCACATAAGTCACGTTCTTAAGAGCCTTTCGAAACGATTCCTGCCACCTACGCTTCAGTATCGAAGATGGTTCGTGACCAATCAGCGGTGGTATCGGTAACTCCCGGCGGGTCCGACACCCACGCTGGCCTCGGACATAAGATGGAAGAAATTAAGTTCACTACTGAGGAGCTGTCCCGGCGATACAGGTTAGTTGCTGCTCAATGTTTACACATTTGGTTCACCTTTGGTTGCTAAGAGATAACTCACTCTTGAAAACCAGCTAAATAGATCTTCAGGGTAAAATTTTCGATTGAATTTTCTTACGCGTGTTTTTTTTATAAGTCTAAAATGACCAGTAGAGTTTATAAGGATCTCATTGGCTTTTTAAACACATTTTTCTAAACTATTCATGCACCAAGTTGCTTGTGGGTCCATGACTTTGTTGGTTACAGGATCACTAATAACACCTGATTACATATAGACAAATTTAAACAAAAATACCAGAAGTATTTAAGTTAATCTCACTAATTACTGTTGGGAGTTCCTACGTATTGTTTAATGGAAAATGAGTGATCTCATCTAATTATTCTTGTAAGTGCTTTACAATGAGTGGTCAACAAGTCGAAAACCTAAAACTACTCAGAATGATGCAAGATGTGGAACATAGTGGTAGTAGACGGTATAAAAACAGTTTAATAAGTTAAACAACAACTTTTCATGTAGATCATTATTTGTAAAGTTGCTTTCTAGTTTATAAATTTTATCAAAGTTAGGCCAAGGAAAACTAATTAACTATACATGATTCACTATTTAAAACACACACACAGACTTCGACCTGTGAAAACAATAATTACTCAAATAAACATTTTAAGTCCTATCAAAAAACGAATGAAAACAAACATAAAAAATACGTTTAATCATTAGTAACTAATGTTTGTATAATAATTTTCCACCAATCAGGAGTATTTATATTCTGAATCGATCAAGTCAGTTTTTATTCCTTGAAAATGGTATCATATTTGATTGCTGGCGCTAATTTCAAGTATACTATGTTAAGCCCATTGTTATTTTTTGAATAAACTTCAGAGTTATTTATAGGGCCTGTCATGGGTAGGTGGATAAGGCGCTTGACTCACAATCTGAGAGTCGCGTGTTTGAATCTCGTCACCGAATATGCTCGTCCTACAAGTTTGCTGACTGGGCTAGCCACATGGATGTAAATGTTTATAAAAATACCGGCTGACCCATAATTCGATGGGACTAAGGCCGTAATGGGGGGGGGGGAGGGTACAGTTACTTATGCACAGTTTAGAATAATAAGATGTCGGTTGTACATCGATCAGATTAGTAAAGCGGCTCTTTAACAAAAAAATCTTTGTTGTTGTTTTTAATGGAGGAGATAGGATATATAAACACAATTTACGTTGTAATATGCTAATCACCTATGCTTGAAAATGACAGCTTTAACTTACAAGCAGCAGACCAGCTTACTGTTTTTCAACATGTTAGAAGTGCCTGCATTCTACCATATTAGTAGATCAGCTTGAAAAATTACAATGTCTTGTAGTTTGTTTTTTAGTTGCAAAAGTACATTTGGAAAGCACAGATTCCAGTCTCAACTTCATGACACTGGTTTTCTGATCTTCTCCTTTTGTAAGTAAAAGAAACAAAACTACTCACAATAGCTTATATGTGTGAAACAAAAAAAAAGAATCCTCAATGCACTACAAAATAACAATGCTTAAAATGTTTTTATCATTCACGAGTTTTAGCTTATAAAATCATAATTTTAATACTGGTATTTTAGAAGAAAAATATCTTTTTAGCTACGCGTTTGTTTAAACATTGTAAGAAAGGAGGAACAAGTTACTCACACATATTACACATACACTGGTTCAGAAATAAGCCGTGGTAACACACACATGTTACACATAAAGTTATAATAATAAGTTGCGGCTACCAGACACATGTTACACATACGGTGATAGGAACAAGCCGCGGCTACCATACAAGTGTTACACATAAAGTTATAATAATAAGTTGCGGCTACCAGACACACGTTAAATACACAGGTACGGAAATATACTGTTGTCACCAGACACATATTAAATACACAGGTACGGAAATATACTGTTGTCACCAGACACACGTTAAATACACAGGTACAGAAACAAAATGTTGTCACCAGACACACGTTAAATACACAGGTACAGAAATGAACTGTTGTCACCAGACACATATCAAATACACAGGTACAGAAATAAAATGTTGTCACCAGACACACGTTAAATACACAGGTACAGAAATATACTGTTGTCACCAGACACACGTTAAATATACAGGTACAGAAATAAATTGTTGTTACAAGACACATATTAAATACAGAGGTACAGAAATAGAATGTTGTCACCAGATACATATTAAATACACAGGTACAGAATTAAACTGTCGTACCAGACACATATTAAATACACAGGTACAGAAATAAATTGTTGTCACCAGACACATATTAAATACACAGGTACAGAAATAGAATGTTGTCACCAGACACACGGTAAATACAGAGGTACAGAAATGAACTGAATAAGCCGCGGTTGCTTATCCAATATTTTTGGTTTTATAGATGAAAACATAAAGAACGAACCAGCAAAGACCTGAATTACGTGTAAATTCCTAACACGAGGCAATCTTAGCCAATACTATTTCAATCTAGCTGGATATTCACAAATCTATCCCAAGAATAAGCTCACACGTTTGTCTATCGACGTACAAGCTTGAACACACACACTTGTTTCTAATGTGTAAGGAGGACTTTTCCTCAATTAAATATTGTAGCATTATCTTTCTCGACCGTTTTCTATTTCTTGGAGATTCAGTATCTTTAGCGATGATATAAACAACCTTGTAAGGAACGGTGCTGGTTATATCATTTGTACTTTTTAATGTTAAAACAAATATTTTTGCATTTCAGGCCAATAACTATAACGCACTAAGCATTATGTAAGAAATACTCATTTTCACTGTTAAAACACATAACCTTGCAATCTAGGTTGCTACGTCTAACGCACTAAGGATTGGAAATGCTCATATTTTACTGTTAAAACAAATAATATTGCAACTGGGGTTGATACGTTTAATGCAGAAAATATTATTTTAGAAATACGCATTTTCACGACTATAACAAACACCTTTGTAAAGGTTGCTACGACAAATGAGTGAAGGTTACGGAAACGATTCTTGCTATTGTTAAAACAAATATTATTACCACTTAGATCGCCATATGTAATGGAATAAGATTAGAATTGCGCGTTTTAGCTATGAAAAGAAACAAGTCACCAGAATAAGTTAGCGATGTTCAACTATTTAAATGTTGTACTTAGGAAAAAAATATACAAGCATAAAAAGATGTTCAAAAAAGGACAAATGATAGAAAATTTGAACAAGCTGTTTTACGAAGCCTTTTCGAATAAACATACATTACAGTATTTTGACGTATAGAGATATAAATCTATAACATTTAAATTTTCTATAAAAAACGTTTTAATCATGTTTTGCAACTGTAAGTGTTTGGACATAGGGATATGTGAATTTATTAACTAAATATTCTAAAAACATTTTCAACGTTTTTTCTAACTTTACGTATTTGGACGTAGGGATGTGTGAATTTATATTAACTAAATATTCTTAAAACGTTTGGAACGTTTCTTGTGACAGTAGGTGTTTGCACGTAGGGATGTGTGAATTTATATTAACTAAATATTCTAAAAAATGTTTTCAACGTTTTTTTCTAACTTTACGTATTTGGACGTAGGGATGTGTGAATTTATATTAACTAAATATTCTTAAAACGTTTGGAACGTTTCTTGTGACGGTAGGTGTTTGCACGTAGGGATATATGAATTTTTATTAAATAAATATTCTAAAAAAAGTTTGAAACGTTTCTTTTGACTGTAGGTGTTTGGATGAAGGAATATATCAACCTGTGTTAACTAAATATTCTACACAAAGCGTTTTAAAAGTTTCTTGTGGCTCTAGGTGTTTGGACGAAGGGATACTTGAATCTGTGTTAATTAAATATTCTACAAGAGTGAAACATTTCTTATGGTTGTAGGTGTTTTAGCGCAGGGATATACGAATTTATACAGACTAAATATTTAACAAAATGTTTAACATTCTTCATATATATATATGTGTGTGTTTTTCTGCAAAAATCAGAAAAAAAAAAAGTGAAAATAAATCACGTGATTTTGATCAGCAATCCAAGAATTCATATTAGTGATTATTAACACATTAATTTTTATCTCGACAAGAAGTTAGACTAATAAAAGATAAAAACGTATAATTATCAATCAGTCAAACCCAACTCATATGATATGCTTCTCGAGGAAATTAGTGTTTCCTGTTTCCGCAGTTAGCCAACGAGTTACTGATATTGTTTTTTTTTTATAACAACCTCATAATTTGGAAAGAATTAATTTCCTTGAAAAACAGTTACAAACCCTACGTTAATTTCACCTTCTATATTTGCTGCTTGTTATCAATATGCGTTATTTTGTTACAACCGTTTTTAGCTAAAGCCTTCGCTACACTATATGGAAAAAGTTTACGAACTTTATTAACAAAAGAGTCAAACGATCGATGCGAACGACTTTTTTTTTAAACAGTCTTACTTCAGGTCAAACAATTTTCTAAGAATGCTACTTTTATACTATTTCGAATATACCGAAAATCTCTGTCAAGAAAGGTTGTGAGTAGCCAACTGGTTAATGTACCTGGATTGGAAACCTGAGAGTTCATAGTTCTCGCTCAAGTGTCGCAAAAGAAAAGAAAAATAATATGCTCCGCACTTCGGGGCCGTAGAGGCACTATATTTTAGTCTGTCAGTTCCAGTTTAGGGACCACTGTTTGCAGATATATTTTGTATATAGCCCCTCAATTCCAAGTTAGGGACTGTTATGGGCAGATATCTCTTGTGTATAGTCTGTCAGTTCCACATTAAGGAATACTATGGGTAGATACCCCTTGTGTATAGTTTGTAACATTAGGGACTGTTATGGGCAGATATCCCTTGTGTATAGTCTGTCAGTTCCACATTAAGGAATACTATGGGTAGATACCCCTTGTGTATAGTTTGTAACATTAGGGACTGTTGTGGGAAGATATCCCTTTTTAGCCTTACACTAAATATTTTAAAACAAAGTGCCAAAAAAAAAACAGAAAAAAAACAACGAAAGCTAAACAATTAAGTCTCTGGGATATCTCGAAAATAAACTAATTTGAGCTATAAGCAACTCTACAACACTGTAAAACATAAGCTAACCCAAACGTCATTGACGCTGGAATAATTGTTATAGTGGGGCTGCTGAAAATCATTGTATAAAATTATAACACTTGTATATTATAGATCAGGCGCATTCGGTTACTGTTGTGTGTGTGTTACAATGTTAATAAAACGAAACCAACGTCAACGCGTGTTTATTCTTTGATTTCAATCATGGATTCTTAAAATTACTAATGTAGTTTGACGTTGTGGTTGCATTAACGGCTCCGGGAACAAGAAGACCAGCTTACTGGTTTTTGTGAATGATAATGAAGTTAATTCAAATTAAATCAAAATAAAATATGATACATAAGTAAATACAATATAAAATATAATAGATAAGTAGTGTTAAAAAACGAACAATGTTGTGTTATTAACCCTTACCTATAAATCTGATCTATAAATGACATATATAAAATTGATAATAATTACAGTTAACTTGCGTTATCTGATTCACACTCTAACAGTTGTTGTTCATTAAAATTAACAATATAGCGCCTAGCCCGACATGACCAGGTGGTTAGGGCGCTCGACTTGCAGTCTGAGGGTCGCGGGTTCTATCCCCAAACATGCTAGCCCTTTCAGCCGTGTGAAAGATCAATCCCACTATTCGTTGGTAAAAGAGTAACCCAATAGTTAGCGGTGGGTAGTGATGACTAACTGCCTTCTCTCTAGTCTTTCACTGCTAAATTAGCTGTCCTGATGAGCCCCGGTATTCGGCGAAAGACCTCGTCCGCACTGAAGATAGCAGATGTAGTGTGGTTGACATATTATAACATACTAGCAGATGCCCATTGAAACAATTCAATATTTATTTCCTAAAACTAGTGATGAATAAATATAAAATGTGCAGTCAATCTAACCTCTTGGATCAGAACGTATATGCAATATGATTGTCTAGTGGGCCGTTTACAGCCGTCATTCCATTTGTTACTTCAATAAGAAAAAATTGCATTGCGTTTATTTTTAAGCAAAGGAGACTGAATTCAATGCATTGTAGGCAAAAATCTTTGTTTGTCGATGCAATGGGTGCACCCAGCACATCAGAGTGTTCAGCTTCGATAGGTAGCCACTGAGGTTTTTCCGCTGGAGGCCACCGTTCCTTGTCATTTTGCTGATTCCAAGGATAGACCGCTGCGGAATAGAGTGCTTTTCGACAGTTGTTATTTCTATATAGAGTGTGAAATGGGGCATTCAATTCAATTTATTCATCATTGTACAATAAAATCACGCATGTATATAATATTGACATGATATATATATATATACCGAACAACAACAAATGTATACTCAAAAACGTTCCCCTCTTTATGTGTATTTTTTGTTCACGCTCCTATCTTCAAAATATTTCTTTCAATCAGTTTATGGAGGAAGTTCCGCTTTTTTATCGTGAAATTTCTCACAAAAGAATAATTTTTGTTCTTCATTAAGTTTTTTTCTGAGATTGACCGTTCAGCACATACGAAGACTGACGGATCGATGTTCATATCGATTGGAAATTTTAGAACTTTAAGAAATTAA